CTCCTTTTTTATATATTGGGGATGGTGAGGTCTGTGTCTATTATCAATTTTTGTTTATAGGTACTAACATCAAATTGAGGGCTGAAATCTATAAAGTAGAAAAAAAGAAAACAATACAAAGAATCGATGTAACAAAGAGTTGGTTCTTTGAGAAAATCAACAAGATAGACAAACCTTTATCCAAATTAACCAAAAGGCAGAGAGAGAACATGCAAATTAACAAAATCAGAAATGAAAAGGGGGACATAACAACAGAAAATGAGAAAATCCAGAGACTCTTCAGGTCATATTTTGAAACCTTGTACTCCACAAAATTCGAAAATTTAAAGGAAATGGACAATTTTTTGGATAGATATCACTTACCAAAATTAAATGAAGAACAGATAAGCAATTTAAATAGACCTATAACCCCTAATGAAATAGAAGCAGTCATCAAAAGCCTTCCAACCAAATAAAGTCCAGGGCCAGATGATTTCAGAACAGAATTCTACTAGAAATTCAAAGAAGAGCTAATACCGATACTCCTCAAATTGATCTACATTATAAAAGCAGAAGGATCATTGCTTTTATTATGTTCATTGCCAAACAAGATAATCTCAAGAGATGCCAAAAAAGCCTTTGACAAAATCCAACACCCCTTTGTGATAATGATAAAGGACTTGGAGAGACCAGGGATAACAGGAACATATCTAAACCAATAAATGTAATATACAGTAATCCAAGAGCCAACATCAAACTAAATGGGAAGAAAATCAATGAGATTCCTCTATAATCAGGAATAAGACAACTGTCCATTCTCTCCATATATCTTCAATATTACACTTGAAGTTCTGGCTAGAGCAATAAGAAAACAAAAGAAGATCATGCTGTATACAAATTGGAAAGGAAGACTCAATCTTTCACTATTTGCAGACAATAAGATAGTTTACATAAGTGACCTGAAAACCTCTACCAAGGGACTCCTACAGCTGATAAACACCTCCAGCAAAGTGGCAGGGTACAAGATTAACTCAAAAAAAGAAAAAAACAGTAGCCCTACTATATAAGATGATAAGTGGGCTGAGAAAGAAATCACAGAAACATAGCACTTTACAATAGCCACAAACAACATAAAATATCTTGGGGAAATGCTAACTAAACAAGTAAAAGACCTGTACAGCAAGAACTTTGAGTCTTTCAAAAAAGAAATTAAAGAAGATACCAGAAAATGGAAAGATCTCCCATGTTCTTGGATAGGTAGGATCAACATAGTAAAAATGGCAATCTTTCGAAAAGCAATCCACAGATTCAATGCAATCCCCATCAAAATATGGGCACAATTCTTCACAGACATTAAAAGAACAATTCTCAACTTTATTTGAAAAAACAAAAGACCTGGGATATCCAAAACAACCCTGTACAATAAAGGAACATCTGGAGGTATCAACATCCCTGACTTCAAGCTCTATTATAGAAAACAGCTTGGTATTGACACATAAATAGACAGGTAAAGCAATGGATTCAAATTGAAAACCCTGATATTAACCCAAACACCTACAAACACCTGATATTTGACAAAGAAGAAATAATTATACAATGGAAAACAGAAAGCATCTTCAACAAATGGTGCTGGCATAACTGAATGTTGGCATGTAGAAGACTGCAGATAGATCCATATCTATAGCCATGCACAAAACTTAAGTCCAAAGGGATCAAAGACCTCAACATAAATCCAGCCACACTGAACCTCTTAGAAGAGAAAATGAGAAGTACCCTTGAATGAATTGGCACAGGAGACTGCTTCCTGAACATTACACCAGTAGCACAGACACAGAGATTGACAATTAATAAATGGGACATCCTGAAACTGAGAAGCTTCTGTAAGGCAAAAGACACAGTCAAAATAAAACGGCAGCCCACAGAATGGGAAAAGATATTCTCCAACCCATCACACAGAGGGCTGATTTCCAAAATATACAAAAAACACCAAGTAATCCAATTAAAAAATGGGGTACAGAACTAAATAGAGAATTTTCAATAGAGGAAACTAAAATGGCTGAAAGACACATAAGAAAGTGCTCAACATTCTTAGCCATCAGGAAAATGAAAATCAAAACAGCTCTGAGATACCATTTTACGCCTGTCAGAATGGCTAAGTTCATGAACACCAAGGACAGTCTATGCTAGAGAGGATGTGAGAAAGGGGAACACTCCTCCATTGTTGGTGCAGTCACTTTGGAAATCAGTATGGAGGTTCCTCAGGAAAATAGTAATCAGTCTACCACAAGATCCAGCAATTCCACTCTTAGGCATATACCCAAAAGATGCACATTCATACGACAAGGACATCTGTTCAACAATGTCCATAGAAGCATTATTTGAAATATATGGAACCTGGAAACAACCTACATGCCCCTCAACTGAAGAATGGATAAAGAAAATGTAGTACATTTACACAATGGAGTACTACTCAGAAAAAAAAAATGGAATCTTTAAATTTACAGGCAAATGGAAGAAATCTTCCAAAAAGACAAATATGGTATGTACTTACTTATATATGGATTTTAGACATAGATCAATGAATTAGCAGCCTACAATCCATACTGCTAGAGAAGGTAGGAAACAACGAGGACCCTAAGAGAGACATACATCAGGCCAGGAGTTGGTGGCACACACCTTTAATCCCAGCACTCAGGAGGCAGAGGCAGGCGATCTCTGTGAGTTCGAGGCCAGCCAGGTCTCCAGAGCAAGTGCCAGGATAGGCTCCAAAGCTACACAGAGGAAACCCTGTCTCAAAAAACCAAAACAAAACAAAACAAAGAGAGACATACATCATCCCCCAGAGAAGGGGAAAGGGACAAGATCTCCTGAGCTAATTGAAAGCATGGGGCATGGGGAGAGGGCATTAGGAGAAAGAGACAGTGAGAATGGGAGGAGAGAGGAGGACATGAGGGAGCAGGAAGACTGAGTCAGGGTAAGAATAGAGGAGAGCAAGAAAAGAGATACCATAATAGAGGGAGCCATTATAATTTTAAAGAGAAATCTGGCACTAGGGAAATGTGCAGAGATCTACAAAGATGACCCCAACTAACACTCTATGCAATAGTGGAGAGGCTACCTTAAATTCCCTTTTCCTATAATGAAACTCATGACTTCCTTATATGCCATCCTAGAGCCTTCATCCAGTAGCTGATGGAAGCAGAAGCAGACACCCACAGCTAAACACTGAACTGAACTCCTGGAATCCAGTTGCAGAGAGGGAGGAGTGATGAGCAAATGGGTCAAGACCAGGCTGGAGAAACCTACAGAAATAGCTGACTTGAACAAGGGGGAGCTAATGAACCCCAGACTGACAGCTGGGAAACCAGCCTGGGACTGATCTAGACCCCCTGATAGTGGGTATCAGTTAGGATACCTGGGAAGTCTATGGGGCCTCTGATAGTGGATCAGTATTTATCCCTAGTAAAGGAATGAACTTTGTGAGCCCTTTCCACATAGAGGGATGCTGTCTCAGCCTGACACAGGGGGAGGGCCTAGGCCCTGCTCCAAATGATGTGTCAGACTTTGAAATCCCCCATGGAAGGCCTCACTCTCCCTGGAGAGCAGAAAGGGTATAGGGTAGTGGGTTGTTGGGTGTCAGGGAATGAGAGGAGGGAGAGGGAACTGGGATTGACATGTAAAACAAGCTTGTTTCTAATTTAAATTCAAAAAAAGAAAAAAATCAAGTACTAACATTTTAGCTGATTCTCACATTGTTTAAGCTGTGATTTTGCTACTCAGCTTGGATGCTAAGTTCCTGCAAATGTGCACCTTTACTGCCTTTGTTGTAAATTCTTCTCTAGTCTAGATTTTCATGTATACAGAAAATGTGTGAGTAAGGAATTCAAAAAAGCAAGACAGGAGAATTATCACCAGGAGTGGTCATTCACAAGTCTTACTCTCAATAGAGCTAATAGATCCAGTGATTCCTCTGTTGCATCTTACCCCATAAGCATTTCATTCTTTGTCCTTCTTGACCCATGCACAGATTGTTTTCATCCTCTTCAGTCTTCCAACAATCAGATTAAATCTGATTGAGTTGGGGAATATGAAAGTCCTGGGTTATCTGATACACACAGATGGGGAGAAAGAATGCACAGAGGGCTTATAGGGCTTACCAAGCTACAAAATGAGTAAGTGGCAGCCAAAATATCTCAAGATACAGCTTTTGGAGTAGTTTTGATTGCCCAGAAATCTCAACTGAGACCTAGAACTTGATGCAGTTACAGAAACATGTTCCCTAGTAGTTTGTTGCCTTATCAGAAGAAATCACAAAAAGAGAAGAAGAAACCAGACTGAACTCAGACCTATGCCTTGAATCATGACCTTAGTTTCAAGCTTGTCAAAAAAACTACCAAGACTGAGAGAAGGGTGAGCAAAAGGAGGACATGAGGCAAACACTGATCTCCAATTCTCTGGAGAGGAAGACTCTTCTTTGGTCTCCACAGGCCTATCCTGAAGATGAGGGATTTTTCCTTCCTGTTGGGTTATAGAAAGAACATTGAGATCCATCAGTAGGCTGATCATTAGAGCAAGCAGATTTAGCAAAAATGTAATTCTTTCTAATTTGGAAGCTCTCTTGCAACAAACTGAGCTACCCATTCTTCAGCAGAAATGCTTAGTCAGAGGTTAAGGGACAACAGTAAAGGTACTGCACTAAAGAATCTAATTCTTATGGCAGTTGCAATAAAGTTGATCCTAGGTTAATCTATCTTTCTTTCTTTCTTCCTTCCTTCCTTCCTTCCTTTCTTTCTTTCTTTCTTTCTTTCTTTCTTTCTTTCTTTCTTTCTTTCTAGAATTTACTTTAAAATAGGGCATTACTTGAAGCAAAGGGAAAGCACAGTGTATTACAAGAAAGTAAATCAGGATACTCCACAGACAACACAAGTTAAGGGACCTTACTGAGTAAGGTGAAGCACTTCCTTTCAGTACACTGCTAGGGTCTTCCAGTTGCAACTGGCTCTTGACTTTTCTCTCCTCAGGTGTCACCACTGTTCTCACTATGACCACCTTGAGTATCAGTGCTAGAAATTCCTTACCTAAAGTGGCATACGCGACGGCCATGGACTGGTTCATAGCCGTCTGTTATGCCTTTGTATTTTCTGCACTGATTGAATTTGCCACTGTCAACTACTTCACTAAGCGAAGTTGGGCTTGGGAAGGCAAGAAGGTACCAGAAGCCCTGGAGATGAAGGTGAGTTGCAATAAAGGAAGGGCTGGGAAGCACTTCCCGAGAGATCTGTATTGGGACCAGAAGTGAACAGCCTGTAGCTTGCAGGAACTGAGCATGGCTACGTGCTATTCACTGGGGTCATCAATCCAATTCTCAACTGGAGTGTTTCTTGGCAACCTGGGGATCAACTAAGAACTATGAAAAGGAGGATAATAGCATGTAGGGCTTATGTCTTGTATTGAGTCAAATATTACTGTGATGCTGTTAGACTTTGGGGACATTGGTACTTAGAAAGTATCCAAAAACTTGGAGTTTTATCTACATCTGAAGCACAGTCTCCAAGACCACTTCTACCCCTCACTCTCTGAAACATTCACATTCCAGTCAAAATGAAGTGCTCATTATTCTTTCCAAGTCTTTGTCTATTTTTTATTCTCTACCTGAAGTGCCCCTTTTTTTCTTCCTGGTAAACACTTATTCATTCGTCCAAACTCAAGTAAAACATTACTATCTCTGTAGAGCTGTTAGGAACCATGGAGCCTGGACAGTCACCCAAGGTTTCTCTACAAAATTGGAGCATCCATCTTCAGCCTGCAGGCCCAGAATATCTGACAGACCTTTTCATGAAATAATAATTTTGTAGGACTGGCCTAAATTGTCTTTGCAAAGTTCAGCAGTCAACCTCCTTTGTGTTCTGCTCCTCCAATTTGGACAGCATACTGTTATCAATAAAGGCAAGGGCACTTTCTTGCCCAGTGTCTAGCTTTGTCACATTTGAAGCAAACTCCATATGGAGGTTATTTGATGCCCATTATCTTTCTTGAAGTAGATTGGTACTGTCAGAAGAGATGTGTCTCAGAGTTATGAAAAGCCTTATGTTACTAAAACATCTTAAATGTCATATTCTGTATGTCTCTGAAGTGTTTGAAGCCTACCTATCTATCCAAAATACATGAGAATAAATAAAGTTTATTTCTATCTACATCTAAACCCTTACTACAAGTTTGATTGTTTCTTAATTATCCTAAACAGTTTCTAATAGTAGCTTTACATTATAATTTTAAATGAGTTGTATAATTACAGGACTTACAATATGCTATAACAAAATAACCTTAAGTTTGTATCAATATACAAAAATCCATACCAATGTAAAATATTTTAGAACAGTAGTTGCCTTTTATTTTAAAAGTAGATTCAATAATCTACTTTTATCGTATTATTCATATACCCCTCCCCCTTTTTCACTAGATAGGAGAGAAAGGATAGAGGAAAGAAGAAGAAAGAAAGGAAGAAATCCCTTAATCTGACCTCCTCTGTTTAGTTTCCTCCCTGACCATGACCAATAACAACTTGCAAACAGCACCCCTCCCAAACAATGACAAATATCCATAACCTACTCAATGGCCAAGAAATCACCTATCCCACCTCTTGGGAATATGGATATTATGTTCTTAAAATTACTCCCTGTTGCCTGAGGGTTGATAGCATCACTAGGGGACCCTGAGAAAAGTGGGATAATGGTCAAGTTCTGGCAGAGTTAGCTGTATCATTTGTTGCCCAGTCTCTGTGTGATGGGAAAGTGTAGGGCTTACCTGAATGGCTAAATTAATCTGTGAGCTGAACCATCTCAGCTAGCAATTATAATTGGACTTTCTTTGGACTACATGCTCCCAAATAATAACACAGAGACTTATTAAGTATGAATGCTTAGCCTTAACCTAGGCTTGTTCTCAACTTGCTCTTAAAACTTAACCTGTTTATATTACTCTGTGTTCTACCATGTGACCCATTACCTCTCCTCAGTATCATGCATTCCACTTCCTCTGCACCTCATTGAAGAATCCTTTGCCTCTCAGTTTTTTTTTTCTGAGTTTCTCTCTCTAGAAGTCCCACTTATCCTCTCCTGCCTATCTATTGGCCATAATCTCTTTATTAAAGCAATCAAAAGGTGTGTTAAACAGGTGGAGTAAAACAGAGACACATCTTCATGGTGCACATAATAATTATCCAACAACACTTATATACATAATTTAAATAATTTCAAAAAGATTTTCTACTATATTCAGGTAGTATGAATGCACAGATGATTCAATGCATAAAAATCAATAATATACCTACCACTTAAACTAAATGATAGAAACAATATGATATATCATTAGATTCAGAAAAGGCATTTGACAAAAATCTTAACATCCATCATGATAAAAGCCCTATAGAGACTTGGGATATAGTGGACATATTTCAACACAGTTTAGACAATATACAATAAGACCCCATCCAACATCATCATAATGGTAGAAAAAACAAATAATTTCCACTAATACAAGAATTGCACTCTACTTATTCCTATTCAACATAATAAGTGGTCTTAAAGCAATAAGTGAAGGAGATGAAGGGAAATGAAAATAGGAAATTCACAGTATCTTTATTTGCAGATGATAAAGTTTTATGTGTAAAAGTCCCTGAAGACTCTACCAGGAAATTCCTTCTGCTGATAAAAACAAAATCAGCAAAATAGCTGTATACAACATTAACAGGCATTTTCTTCAAAAGCTGTAAATTCTTGGTCTTTAATGTTAAGGATAGCTTTGATATCACAGATTTGTTCTGTTCTTTTCCCAGAAGTACCGATTATGTATACCATAGAGATTTATGTCATCTTCTATATCTACAATTTCTTCTCTAATAATATTAACTTATTATTATTTTTAATTTAATTTTATTGCCATTTTCTCAAACCTATTTTCTGCGTCTTTCATCATTTTCAACAATTCCTACTCACTTTCATTTTTGTGATATCTTCTTCAATCACTTACACACCTTACCTTTGGAAACAGGGTCTCTCTCTGAATGAGAGCTAATTTACTGGCCTTTGAGCCCTAATGATCTTTCTCTACCTTCTCAGTGCTGGGATAACAGGCATTTGATTCTTATCTCTGACTTTTTACATGGATTTTGGAGATAAAAGTCAGGTCCTCATATTTGCATAGAAAATAGTTCACTGACTGAGCCATTCCCCCATCCCTAATTGGCTTGCATTTATTTCATGATCTTTTATAACTTGTTTTCATGCTTTCCATGTTCCTCTTGTGTATTCTCCAACAATCTTTATTGCTCATCTTCCATTCTCTTGCAGCACATTTTGCATCAGTTATTATTTTAAGTTGCAATGGAGCAATTCTTTTCTACCTATTTTGTGTGGAAACACCATTTTAGGAAGTGACTCAGGGGATGATTAGGGCAGGGTTGAGCACTTGAAAGTGAGTTGTACTCTTTGTAATTTGAGCATCATTTTCTGTCTATATAAATTCTGCTGGGCACTAGTACTTGTGATGATTCTGCTTCTAAATAGCAAGAAGTTTCCCTTGCTCACTGAAAAGTACTCTATAGTGTGTGTGTGTGTGTGTGTGTGTGTGTGTTCGTACTTCCATGTGCCCCTTTGGGGCTATACCCTTAATTTTTCATTCTTTGCCAATATTTAATGATCAAACTTAATTATAGGCTGTTATTGCTACAAATATAAAACTGATTGTGTTTAAGGAAATTTTGTTTCTCCTCATGGGCTATGCTAGCCACTTGTTGAAATTCTATTTTTGGCCAGAGCCCTAAAGCAACAGACATTTTAAGTGTCTTCATCACCCGATCTGATTTCAGTGTGTGTTTGTATCCAGGTTATAAAATTCCCATTTCACAAAAGATGAACATTTAGGCTTGGGGCTATAACAAATAGAATATTTGTTCATCTTGAACATCAAGGTCCTGAGTTTGAAATTCAGCACTATAAAAAGAGAAAATAAAATTTAAAAATCCCCCAAATTGTTTTATTGTTTTTGTTTGGTTCCATAGAATAAAGATGTCCCAGGTCTGTCAAGCAAAAATTTCCAGAATATATAGTATAAATAGATATTTACAGAGAAATTAGTTCAGTAACTGATATTTTTAAGTTTACTAAGGACAAATTATGGCAAGTTAACCTCTAATTAATGTTTATTGAACTGACAGAACAGGAAATGGTATAGAGTTTATCAAGATACTTGATTAAATTGAAAAATTATTTTATGTGCGTGACTATTTTTGCCTGCATGTATTTAAGTATTAGAGTCTGAAGTGCTCCCCAGAGGCCAGAAGAGAGCATCAGATCCCTGGATTTAGAGTCACAAGTGATTGTGAGCTGTCATGTGGATGCAAGTTGTCTTAACTGCTGAGCCATTACCTCATCTCCATTGATTAACTTTCTAATATGCCCTAGAAAACACTTCAAGTAGTACATTTAGGCTGATATAATTGGTTGACCAATTAAAGTCAAATAGAACTCATCAATGGACTGACATTGACCTTACCTGAATAGAGGCTCACAGGATTCCTTTAACTCAAATCTCTCA